TTTTTTTTTTTTTTTTAAATTTATTTTTTCCCCTTTCCCAGCTCCCCAGGAAGATCCCAAATCCTCTGGCGACGTCTCGGAGGAGCTGAGCAGGCAGCTGGAGGATATCCTGAGCACCTACTGTGTGGATGCCAGCCAGGAGAACCCAGGGGAGGATGGGGGGCACGGGGAGCCCCCCGAGGAGCCCGACAGGGGGCGCAGTGACTCCCCCAGGAACGGCGAGCAGGAGCCGGGGGGCCCCGAGATCAATGGCGAGAAGGAGAACTCCAAGGGCAGCGAGGAGGCCGGGGACAGGGACCACAGGAGAGCTCAGGAGAAGAAGAAAGCCAAAGGTTTAGGTGAGAGATTTTTTTTTCAAATCCCCAGAGGTTACTGGAAAGGATTTTCAGCTCCCTAAGTGTTTAGGATTCCCAGCTCAGGGGTTTAGGATTCCCAGCTCCTCAGGGATTTAGGGATTTTCAACTCCCCAAGGGTTTAGGATTCCCAGCTCTTCAGGGTTTTGGGAAAGGATTTTCAGCTCCCCAAGGGTTTAGGGATTTTCAACTCCCCAAGGGTTTAGGATTCCCAACTCCTCAGGGATTTAGGGGAAGGATTCCCAACTCCTCAGGGATTTAGGGGAAGGATTCCCAACTCTTCAGGGTTTAGGGGAAGGATTCCCAGCTCCACAAGGGTTTAGCATTCCCAGCTCCTCAGGGATTTAGGGATTTTCAACTCCCCAAGTGTTTAGGGATTTTCAACTCCCCAAGGGTTTAGGTGAGGGATTTCCTGTTCCTCAGGGGTTTAGGTGAAGGATTCCCAGCTCCTCAGGGATTTAGGGATTTTCAATTCCCCAAGGGTTTAGGGATTTTCAACTCCCCAAGGGTTTAGGATTCCCAGCTCCTCAGGGATTTAGGGATTTTCAACTCCCCAAGGGTTTAAGATTTCCCAGCTCCTCAGGGATTTAGGGGAAGAATTCCCAGCTCTTCAGGGTTTTGGGAAAGGATTTTCAACTCCCCAAGGGTTTAGGGATTTTCAACTCCCCTAGGGTTTAGGATTCCCAACTCCTCAGGGATTTAGGGGAAGAATTCCCAGCTCCTCAGGGGTTTAGGTGAGAGATTTCTTGCTTCCCAAGGGTTTAGGTGAGGGATTTTCTGTTCCTCAGGGGTTTAGGTGAAGGATTCCCAACTCTTCAGGGATTTAGGGGAAGAATTCCCAGCTCTTCAGGGTTTTGGGAAAGGATTTTCAACTCCCCAAGGGTTTAGGATTTCCCAGCTACTTGAGGGTTTAGGGATTTTCAACTCCCCAAGGGTGTAGGATTCCCAGCTCCTCAGGGATTTAGGGGAGGAATTCCCAACTCCTCAGGGATTTAGGGATTTTCAACTCCCCAAGGGTTTAGGTGAGGGATTTCCTGTTCCTCAGGGGTTTAGGTGAAGGATTCCCAACTCCTCAGGGATTTAGGGGAAGAATTCCCAGCTCTTCAGGGTTTTGGGAAAGGATTTTCAACTCCCCAAGGGTTTAGGGATTTTCAACTCCCCAAGGGTTTAGGATTTCCCAGCTCCTCAAGGGTTTAGGTGAGAGATTTCTTGCTTCCCAAGGGTTTAGGTGAGGGATTTCCTGTTCCTCAGGGGTTTAAGGGAAGAATTCCCAGTTCCCCAAGGGTTTAGGTGAGGAATTCCCAGCTCCAGCTGTTCCCGAGGATATCAGTGCATGGATAAATGGATTTTATCCATTTAAAATGGATAAAATGTGGGGATAAGTGGATTTTATCCCCTGGGGAAAGTCAGAGCCTTGGATGTGTTTGGGAGCATCCTCCTGTTCTGTTCTGCACCCACTGCAGGCTCTGCATTCCCTGGGTTTCTCTTCTGCTGGGCACAGCCCAGGGATGGTTTTCCCCTCCAAAATTTTCAACCAAAATCCAGCTGCTCCATGGCAGATCCTGGGGAGATCCTGGGAGCCTGCTCAGCCCCTCCTTTTCCACCTTTCCATTCCAGATCTCTGTGTAAAGCCATTTTTATCCCATTTATTGCATCATTCCCGTTCCATGTCCCTTTTCCAGGCAAGGAAATCACTTTGCTGATGCAGACCCTGAACACCCTGAGCACGTCAGAGGAGAAGCTGGCAGCTCTGTGCAAGAAATACGCTGAGCTGGTGAGTGCTGGGGCTGGGGGAGGCAGGAGGGACATTGCAGGGTCCCACTGGGGCTTTGTGGTGTCATGGGGTCCCTGCAGGGCTGGATCCCTGCCCAGGAGAGCCTGGGTGGTGCTGGGTGAAGTCTGGTGGTGGTTGTGGAAGGAATTTTGGCAAATCTGGGTGTAAGAGCTCGGTTTCACCCACACAAAGCCTCCATCAAGGTGGAATTCCAAGCATGGATGGAGGTTTGGGGCTGTCTGTGCATGTCCAAAGTGCCCCATCTGTGGCTTTGCCCTGTGCTGAGGGAACCTGGAGCTCCTTCCAATTCCAGCAGGGTGGGAGTTGGGGAAGGAGAAAAGGAAAAGGAAATGCCCTTGGGCTGTGTGTCACTGCTGCTCTGCCCTGAGGTGTCACAAACCTGCTGGCCTTGGGGCACAGCCTGGTGGTGTCTCCTCAGGGGGGGAAATGGTGTCCCCTCAGATGTCCCCTCAGAAAGGAAGATGGTGTCCCCTCAGCAGGGCACATGGTGTCCCCTCAGGAGGGTAAATGGTGTCTCCTCAGATGTCCCCTCAGGAATAAAGATGGTGTCCCCTCAGCAGGGCACATGGTGTCCCCTCAGCAGGGCACATGGTGTTCCCTCAGGAGGGTAAATGGTGTCCCCTCAGGTGTCCCCTCAGGAAGGAAGATGGTGTCCCCTCAGGGGGGGAAATGGTGTCCCCTCAGGTGTCCCCTCAGAAAGGAAGATGGTGTCCCCTAAGGGGTGGATGGTGTCCCCTCAGGAGGGGAAGATGGTGTCCCCTCAGAAAGGAAGATGGTGTCCCCTCAGGAAGGCAGATCATGTCCCCTGAAAGGG